GGGGGGGGAGGGGGGCTGGAGATTTCGATAAATTGTCTGTAGAACGGCAAATCGAGAAGTTACGAGTGGCAGAGATTAAGACTGCGAGGGGATATATGCACGGGGATCTGCTTGATGATCAAGAGAGAAATTTTGTATACGGTTGTGAAGAACCATATAGATGGTGATGGTGTAAGTGCAATAGTGGGTTATCATATTTGTACATCGACGAAATGATATAATAGAATAAACAGAATAAGAGATGGTTTTACCGACTTAGTCAAAGTAAATTACTCTTGGGATATAGAATAACTTATAAATTGATCCTGCTGGAATTTCAACTACATTCGACTAGTCATTCTACATATGTTACATAAGCATTTCTACTCACAGAAAAGTGCATTATATACTTTATCTTTTACGTGTCTATAAGGCACATATATCGTGCAGGATAGGTTACGAAGAAATATTTCTGCCGACAGGAAAGCGTACTATCCTATATTTCGTGTATTACATATAAGATACGTGTGACTAATATCCGAACTAGGTTACTGAAAAATATTTCTACCAGTATAGATATACACGTATATACACGTACAAATATTTATCCATTTTCTTTATAATTCCGCGTGTAAAGAAAGGAAATCTGAAAATTGTCATACGATTAAAATTAGATTAAGTAATAATTTAGTAATACTATTAAATACTTTAGTAGTAAACAATACTAAAATACGATACTAATATCAGCATTGGGGAGACACCGTGCAATTGTCCATTGAGATTTCAATTAATCGTCAGTATTCTACTCCTAAATTCACAAACGGTTATATCAGGCGTTTTACAAGATCAATTTTCCACGAGACCAGCAACGAGCCGTGGGACGACTAACAAAGTAACGTGAAATCTGTCGCGGTGGGTGCTCGTTTTAATGTCCCTGCATGTGGTCTCGTTCGAGCCGGGACCAACTTCAGTGCCGTACCACGTGATCCTATCGAATTATCGAACTCGAAGCAGCAGGGGTTCGGAACGATCCGTTGACGATGGTTTCAAACCTCTTGAACTTAATATCGATCGGCCATACGATCAATTCGCTCGGTGAAAGCGTAAAACGAGAACTCTGTTGAGTGTCATCCGGATAAGCAATTTATTTCTCTTTCCTGTTACTACGTTCCCTTTCTTCATGAGGAACAATTTAATCATCGTTTTTTTCTCCTGTCTTTTTTTTTTGCTTTAGCTGCAAGCATCGATGAGTGAAATGTTATTTAATAAGGCTCGAGTAGGTGGGGTAGCGTAGAATAGGGGTGAAATATCGAGTTTTACTGCTCGCAGTGGAAGAAGCATTTCTGGTCTTCCAGAATGACGAAACAAATGGTGAACTTGTTCCTATTTCGTGGAAATTAAATTCGAGCGTAATTGTAAGCTCAAATTGGGGTTAGGATATTTTTAACGCTATAACTTAACACTTAAATTAATCAAAATTGAGTATATACTCTTCTATAATCAGATTTTGTAATTAGACTTTATAATTTTTGAAGTATAGAATTTTTGCTGGTTTATTTTTCATTTTCATTTTTTTTTTTCTTTGAATTGACATTATTATTTTATGTGTTATATATTTACAGGCAAAATTGGATTTTTGAAGTAAAATATGTATGTTATTTTATTTCTCAGTTTAGTTTCAACTTTTACTATTATTTTACTTATTAAATGAAATACGAATTTTGGTCTGAAAGAATAATATGATTTTGTAATTGTTTGTTAAGCAGTCAAGAACGAACCAACCCGATTTCTTGGGGAGGGTGTGTCGTTCAAGGCGAAGCTGATTGGGATATTGGAAGTATCGGAAGCACGCGGGGACCGGATGTGCCAGGCAGCTTTGGCGGATCTGAAGATGGCGATTCGAGCTGCCGGTGAACACAAACAACGAATCGCCGTCCAGGTCAGCATCGATGGATTACGCTTGCGGGACGAAAAGTCTGGGGTAATGATTTAAAAAAAAATGGCAACTATAATAAATAATAAAAGTAAAATCTGATTTTCGAATAGTAAGCCCATGAAAGAAAATTTGTTATCTCTAACACTGATGTATATATAGAGTGGGTGGTTTCTTATGTAGTTATAATTTTATTGTTCCAGGATTGTCTGTATCACCATCCTGTACATAAAATATCGTTCATTGCACAGGATATGAGCGATTCGAGAGCTTTTGGATACATTTTTGGGTCACCAGATACTGGTCATCGTTTCTTTGGCATCAAGACAGATAAAGCAGCTAGCCAAGTAAGATTTGAACAGTACCGAGTATGCTTACCAGCTTACTTTATTTATCACCAGTTAAAGAAATTAGCGAACTGAAATATTTGTTGTAAGTTTATTTTATTATTTCTTTGATCAGAATCTTAGCTGTGGACGAGAGAAGAATATTGGAATTACTTTCTGTTTTTTATTCTGATTTGAAATCTGCGAAATAATAATTGTTTTTAGCAATTATTTAAACGTGTTATTAAGTATGGGAAAGAAATTGAGTAATACAGACGAATTTAAGGAGAAAGCAATGAATGGAAGTATGTTAATTATCTTTTCTAAACGAATAACAAGTTTCTGCAGCAGCATATCAGAGATATATTTTATTATAGAACACTTTAAAAAGATATACAATTGTATCAAACTTATAATCTCATTTTATTTATTTCTTTATACTTAATTAGCTGCTACCGTACTCGACCAATCTCTCCACGAACAACAGCTGTACCCCACAAAAGAAAAATTAATTCTCTAAACCCAACGAGGCTCAGAGTAATCAACAATCTCCCACGATCTTCGAACTCACTCAAACCACCTAAATCTCGAATCGAAAACTATACCAGGATCTGGATTAAAGTAATCAATATTTTACAATCAAAGTCGCATTCCACGTTCAACCCCGAGTAATTCATAGTCAAGATCATACTCTTAAATTTCAAACACCATTCAAAGTGTGACTCCATTTTCATATTCTCTCAAGCAACAACATCGACATACATCAAATCGACTTACAACACAAGAAGATAGATTTCATCGAGACACATCAAAGCTAAAATACATATACATCAACCCGAATACGTCGAAGCAAGAAATGCCAAGCCTAAATCGATCCAGAACCACAAATGGTTTGCTTCTATATTCCTCTCAGTATCCAGTGATTTATTATTCTTCGGGGTCTAAAAAATTGGCAATAATTACCAAAGCACCGTCACAAAGAGACCATTTGCCCTCGAATCGATAAAAAGCGAGAGACGGCAAACGCAAGGACAGGCGGGTATTATGTCGTCACCGGCACGGATATTGTCTTTGAGAAACAACAAAAGCACAAGCTTGTGCGCGTTGATTCGATAGGAGAGCCGTTGGTGCGCGAGCACGATCCTTAAACGCGGCCGGACCATGTCATTTAACGTGAACGATTCGCTTTGCCGAGGCAAGGGAGTCTAAAATGATATTTGTCCAATCCGGGGAAGCAATATCGACCTCGATAGCTCGGTAATTCCGGAGGGGTATGTAAATAATTGCATTATACGATTCGGCCTGCCGCCCCAACGATACACCGCGGGAGATTGTTGTTCGATTATACGCGATTCCCTCTGTGCTCATGCTTGCAAAGGGACTACGATTTCTTTGGCAACGCACCCACCCTCTTTTGTTCTAGATTTTTCCTCCTTCTGTTTTTTGCCATTTAAGGTAGGTGTGTACAACGTTGTTTTCTCATTTCCTCTGATATTTTTCTTTTCTTTATTATTCTTTTCTTTATTTCTAATTTTTAGAAGGTTGGACGTGATGTTTTTTTTCATTAACATTTTTGGCAGTTCTTCGAGGTTGTCATATAGGGTGAGTCACGCAACGGTGATCTGGAAAGTGGTTGTAGTCAAGATTTAAGTTGGAAATGTATTTCATGAATTGATAGCGAAGGTAGAATGAGTCATGTTTCTTTATTGATTGCAATTAGGCAAGATAATATTTTAGTACTATTAATATTATGATATCTTCAATACTATAAATTTTATAATATTTTCGTTACATATTAATTATATTTGTTTCTTAACGACGATGACGCGACGACGTACGTATATTGATTTCAGGGCTACGTCATTTATTTTTGGAAAAAGAAATTTTTCTTTTCTTTCTCTCTCTACACGAAGAAGCATTAGGGCAAAATAATACAAAAATTATAGCTTTTGCTTTTCAATTTGTCTAAATTTTTTTAATTTGATTTTATTAATTCAGATAAGTAATCGAGATACCTATTTTCAATTACAATCGCGATAATTCAGATAATTTTATCTGATCTTGGCTTTTTAATTCGTAAGTTTACTTTTTATTAATATAATCTTCGAAAGGATATATCAAAATGGTGGATTAAGATTTATTGAAAGGCGTAAGTGGATATAAATGACCACGTGATTGAGCTATAAGAGAGAAGGAAACGTAATAGAGGGGGAATAGGCCATAAGTGACAGCGAACCGTGTATAGTCGGACGCGTTTAGTATATTAGTATAACGAGACGTAACTCTGAGCTGTGACTTATTTCAAAACTCGTTTCGAGCATAAAGGTATTTTTATATTAATACAGTCTTTAGTTCCACATTTTCCGTATCTTTCTTCTTTGATTTTATTTAATAGCTAGGACGTAAAAGTTTGCTTTTAATTTCGAGCCTTTTCGAAATTTCTGTCACGGGGTATTCATGTTAACATTTTTTCCAGGTGGTAATCGCGATGCGAGATTTATTTCAAGTGGTATTCGAATTAAAAAAGAAGGAGATCGAGATAACAAAGCAACACTTGGAGCAAAATGCTATAAACGTTAATAAATTTCACACTACTGGCATCTTTGTTGAACCTACCCCCGATACTAAAGTAATTGCCATATTTTTCTATTTCTCCTTTTTTTAAATAATTCTTGAATTTATTAAGTTGCTCTTAAGTACTTCCCATTCTCGTTTTGACTGTGAAATTACTTTGCAATAGGGTGCAGCAGGATCAGAGTCTTCTCTACATCGGGTAAGGAATACTAATTCGGAGGTAGACAAATCGGCTGACAAACGAAACGAGTCCCAAAGTGGCATAATAGCGGATTTATTAAATTTACAATTCGAATTGAACTCTCTGCAGCAAGGTGTTCACCAGATGGACAAAATTACTCCCGAAAACCCACCACCTTCCACCGACGATCTCTTTGAAACCGATCCATTTGGTGATTCGTTCGCGAATATGAAGGTACGTTCAAATTAATGATCGATGTGTAATATATTTTATAATCAATTGTATCGTGTTATGCAATTTGTTTAAATAACAATGTAACCCTAGCTGGAAGATACAGTGCGACCAATTTTACCACCACCACCGTCATCTTCCAAAAGAGGCCACCTAGATCGACAGCAAACGGTTCCAGGCGCTCAGTCGTCGATCACGTCCAGTCCAGCAACCACTTTAACTAGCAAGACCCCTCCACTTCAAAGCACCATTCAGTGGTTCGACAAGGAAACCGAAAATCTTTTTAGCGACAGTGAACTCACAAGCTCGACCAAAAATACACCAGTTAAAAAGGAGGTGGAAGAGGTAAATACACCTGACTATTTTTATGTAAAGTTATAAAGACCAAACTATTTAAATTTGCAATTCTTACGGTAAAAATTTGGATATTAATTGTTACAGACTCAAGCTAAAAGTCCACAAGTAGATGTCTTCACGGAATTAGATCCGTTAGGAACCGGCTTAGTCAAACCCTACGTGGACAAGAAGGACTTCTTCCAACACCTGAAGAATCCTCCCAAGAAAGTTCTGAAAGATTTAGTGTCTACAAGCTCGGCGGATACGTTCCCAACGAACTTTAATGTTCTCTCAGACCCGTTAGAATCAGCAAAACCGCGAAACGACGTGATCTCTAAAGAAAATCAATTCGAAGATAGCAACTTTGCAAATTTCGACCGATTCGACGAGAACGAAGCGATTCAATCAGTTTCCATGCGCTCTGATTTATCCAAGAGAACAGATCTTACACCTAAAACGACTCACCATCAACCCCTTTCTGTGTCTCTGCCACCCGAAGACTCTTCTACCTCGAAAGCCTCTGTAGTCCCAACTGTGCCCACTACTGTAGGTGTTTCTCTGCTTGGTAGAATAGATAAGGACCCAACGGAACCCACGCAGACTCTGGTAAAGCTTCCCAGTCCCATAAAGTCTACACGCAAAAAGGAATTTGATAACGATATAGCTAGTAACAAAGGACAGTCCACGGATAAGCCGTTCTCCGTCGATTTCTCGGCAGTCAACGAATCACCAGCGTCTCCATTGAAGTCTTGTTCCTCCGATGCCAATTCTAGACTGTCCAGTTCGTCTGCAGAGCTGGAACTCGTACCTGAACCTCCTCCGCGAGGAATTGCCAACATTTTGATCAACCCTCCGCCTTTGCCCCCTAAGAAGCAAGCAGTTAGGGGTGTCGTGAAGCCACCTCCAAGGCCACCGCATACGGACACTTACTTCCATTACGACTTCCCTGAAAGAGAACCTGTGGCGACTAAGGATAGGGACAAGAGCCCGACGAAAGAAGCGATTAGTCAGTCTGATGACAATTTCAGTCCACCACTTCAATTATTTGGTAAATCGGATTTGATAAGCGCCATGACCACGTCTGCGTTCGAAGATTCCTTTAGCTCTATGGTGCCCACCACGAATTTGCCTACATTTTTTACTACCACCACCACCACCACGTCTACTGGACCCAAGAAGACCAAACCTTCGTTGGATATCACACTGAGCCAATTAACGTCAGCCAATTTGGATGAGTTGGCTAGTAGTTTAGGAATGACTGTCCAAGAATTAACTAGTCTCACACTTCAGCAGCTGACTGAATGTTTGGCTACTCTTTCATCCAAGGAAGGTGCATCTAGTGATACCGAAGAACCAGTTTCTGTGAAACAAGAACAAGTCAGTGCTGTGCAAGCACAACCTGTGTCTAATGTGGTGCAACCGAAGCCGTTCAACGAACCACAGCCTTTTACTATGAACTTTGACCAGGAAACTAAACAGGACGCTACTTACGATAAGTACGCTGTTTTTAGGGAACTATTAGAGCTGGAGCAGTTGGAGAAAAGTGAAGAAAGTGCAACGAAGGAGTCTACCGAAGAAGAGACATCTTCAGTGACCAAGGAAGAGCTCGAAATTGCTAGTCAGCAACAGGAAGCTAGTGACGACAGTAGGTCAGAAACTTTGGCTACTTTGGTAAATCTGACAGTGAAACTTCCACCTAGTAACGAGGATCTTAGTAAGGAAGAGTCGACTGAGGCAAAGTCCAAAGACACAAGGGAATCTTCTCCAAATTTGACGTTTGAAAATATTCAAGCACTTGAAGCAGAGACTAAAGTTGAACCTGTAACAGAGTCTGAAGCATCTACAGATCTGCTGGCAAAACAGGTGGAAGAAGAAGAATCTGATAGGACGAAACCTATAGTGGACATCGAGGAGAACACAGAAGAAACCGAATCTACTGAAAAACCTAGCGATTCCAACGAGGATTCTGATAAACCAACTACTGAAACAATTACAGAAGAGAGGAGTAGCCCCTTAGTAGTAGAGAAAGTCGAAGTAAAGTCTTCGATATCGACATCTAGCGATAAATATGCTGCTCTGCGTGAGATTATAGGCGAGCCAGAACCTCCGGCTAAACAATCTGAAGAAGATACGCCGAATTCCAACAGGATGTCTCCTGTTATTCAATTACCAACTCAATCAAAGACTTCAGCCGAAGTGGAGCTACTAAATCTGTTTTCTGAAATTCCTCCTCCTCCTAGTCCCCAGAAACAGCCCAATAAGGAAGAAGCGCAATATAATAGCGCAATGGGGCTGGACATTTTCGAGGAGATCAAGATATTGAGTACCAAGGGACACGCTGCAAGGATAAGACCTCTAATCCCTGAAAGCATCTTCTGTCCATTTACAGAGTTGAAACCAGAAAGGGATGAAAGCAAAGATGACGGCAATTGGACCAAGTTCGACTCTAGTCTTTTCGTTTCAGACAGACCACCTTCTGAACATCCTCCTTCGATTAGCGGCACTTCCCCATGGTCTCCCGATGGCAAAGAGTTTCACAGAGAGGCTTCTTTCAAAGGTAGCGTGTATCAACAATCAGGTGACAGCGACAACGAATGGAAAGACGAAGAAGAGAGCGAGGAGAGCAATGCATGGAGAGCAATGAGGAGAGCAATGAATAAAAGAGACAGGGGCTTCCGGGATAGAATGATGGAGAAGTCCCGTGACGCGGCGTGGGCCAAAAATTCCGGTCACAGACCTCGTGACTCCTCCCTCTGGTACGATGAGAGTCAATGGGAGAAAGAATCCAAGCACTACCCCCATAGAAAGATGCAATATAAGGACGACGAGGACCATTACGAGGCTCACTGGAAGTGCAGATCCATGCCTCAACGTTGGAACTGGCCACACGAGCACGGACCTTTCTACGACGACGACAGGAAAAGGAAAATGATGCTATGGAAGGAAGACAGATTCGGTAGTCAAGAAAGCATGGGGTACGACGACGAAGACAGGCGGTCTAGGAGGAAGTACGAGAGAAGAAGGTGGGAAGAGGATGCTAGATTTTGGAATAGAAGAGCAGCAGGTCCACCAGACTCTGACTATCCTAGCAGAGAAAGCTACTATTACTACAGAGAAGGTAGAGAACGACCACACGAGTACCCGTCAGCCTGGAACGAAGACTATGGCTCTGATAGGCCAGGAGACGATTCTCCAAGATACAACCAGTCTGGTAGAAAGAGACATTGGCCCAAGAGGCCCAACAGTGCGAACGAGGGACGCAATGTGGACATGGTATACCCCGAATCCCGTGGCAAATTCAGTACTTCTAGGTCTGAGTGCAACGACAACGACTCTGATCCTTATCTACGACCATCGCAGCGTTCTAGGAGTCGCCAGAGCTACTGGGGCAGCGACCAGGGGTACGACAGTTGGGTAGAGAGACCCTATTGGTCGGAGGAACCCGACACCAAGAGCGAAAGTCTACACCGGAAGAGAATACCCAGGCACAAACCTCGCCAGCCTTACGCGATGACCCAGAGCCCATTCGAAGATGATTTCGCTCAAAGCGTAGAGCACGTGGATCCCTCGACTTCGGAATCTCTGGCCACGGTGGAACCGCGAGTCCGTTCCGACGGAAGCGACCAGAAACCATCACCGCAGAGTCGTTCTTTCCCATCGAGGTACCCAAAGCCACTCAGGAGGGTAATGCCCATGGAGGAGGTCGAGAGATTTAGTTACTTCGAAGACGATCTGTCGTTTACGGCTGCCGGGATGAGCGAAACGCCTGATCGGCAGAGGCTGCCTTCCGAGCCAAAGGCAACTCCAGAGGAGCTTCCCAGTGAGGCCAAGGATGCTCACAAGCCGTCTGACGACTTTGTGTCTGGCGATAACGGCCATGACTCTTTCTTCAATGGACATCTGAGATACGACGACGACGACGCGTTCGCTTTTAAGGCAGAAATGGAGGACAACGTGTCGGATCATCGAGCCACCACCTTACCTCTCAAGAACCATGCTCGACAAGGGAAGTATTCCGCTGGGAGTAACAATAATAATAACAATAATAAACCCAGGAACGACCAGCATATAAGGAAGTCCGAGTCAGTGAACATATTCGTCAGGGAGAACGATCCTTTCGGTGATGACGATTTCTTCGATTGATGTAACGTCCAGGTGGTGTTAACCGTAACAGGCACGGTGCTGGACATGTTCAAGATATAACACGCGTCAGTTCTGGCTTTTTCGAGCTGGCGTTGGTGCCGGGCTGATTCGACGGAGTGCGTTTCCTTTCTCTGTTCAAGAACGTACCGGGTCTTGAGCTCACATTGCTCCATTTCAGCGTAGTCCTCGAGCTAGAGATGGACAATTGTCGCGTACCACCTACGTTTTCCTCGATTGGCTTCAGATTATAGCTGAGGCAATAAGTATCTGCTCTTCGAGATCACCGAGCGATGAATTTTAACATAGCGTTTACTATCTACAGTATGATGCATTTTGCGAAAGCTCGTATTTGCTAGTTGTAATAACATGCGTTGATCTTGCTTTATTATTTTTATTATTTATTATTCCAATTGCTTTAACTTCTCAAGTACTCTTCGGCATTTATACTCTTTCGTTCGAATTGCAACTTTCTGTATCAGAGAGGAATATGAAAAGCGAATTACAGTAGGGACCACCATATTGTATTCATCAGTGGCTTTAACAGTGTCTTTAATTCAAGGCTAGTTTCAGAAAGTAAGAGTATTGTCAAAAGAAAGAAATCGTTTCACAGCGATTTTTCTATTCTTCCAGTATACAATTGGAATGACCAGACTTAGAAATGTATACTCTGTTATATTTTATAGAACACAGAAATTTCGAACGTTAATTCATAAATGGCGTTTGGAGTCTGAAGCTTAAAATGCGTCTGATTTGTGCAGAATTTTGCGTTTCGCTATATGGTTACACCATATAGATCCCATCAACTGTACATAATCGTAACTTATGTATTTCGAATGGCGAATTTTCGATGTATCGAGTACACGTGTATCAGAATCTCCAAATTCGTTTAACAGAGACAGAAATGGTGTCTCTGAACGAGTAATGCTCATTGCCTCTACTATAGCTAAGTTGTTTAGTTGAGACTATCGTTATATCGCGCGAACGTGAACTAGAAACGATTTCATGGAGCGCAAATGCGTCCATGGTCACCCATGATGATGTCCATCGGTGAAGATGATTCGTCTCGACGTATCGATGGGGTACGAGCGACGTACCGACTGCTAGTCATTGTTTTAATAAATTTGTACATAATGTTATATCGGCGTTAGCGTGAAATTGATTCGCCGACCGGGATCTGTATATGTGCGTGCAGTTTCTATGGCCGATTGTTTACCGCGATCCCGGCGCGTACTTTCAATTACCGATCACCGTTCCATCGAGCGTAATTATGCTTAGGTTCGAGAAAAGTGGAGTGCTCGGTGAAACTCGCGGGAAATTCGAATTTATCGAACTCCGACTTGGACTCGCTTTTGGGCATATTCCAGGATTACACGGTGATGATTCCTTGTTAATCATTAATTAATGTTGATAAGTGATATTTATAACAGTTAGGTACAAAAGGATTATAAATTAGGGAAAAATTTGTAAATTTATTCCAATTATTATTTTAATTATTAACAATAATCTTTCGTTATTATTGGTAATAATTTTAATTATTAGCGATAATCGTTAGTCGATAGCTTTAATTAATAATTCAATTTTTAGGGTGCTTACGTAGGATAAGAGATATTTCCAATTTCAAAATTCTAGGAAATTTCTTATCTGGTTTTACTTGGTTTATAATACGATTACATCGACATTGTTAAGCAGGATATGTGTTAAATTAGAAGTTTTAAATATCTCGTAGGGCCAAATTAATTTTACCGAATCGTTTCGAGTATCGAAAATAGTTTGTATTCTTTTCGCAAAAATATTTTGAATATTGCAATATTGGATTCTACAACTCCTACTGAGCACTCCACTTTTTTACAGCTGAGTCAATCGCGTTCTTGTTTTGTTCGTTTCGTACGATCACGAAGCTAGTCATGTTCGAAGAGTTAGGGTACTAGAGAACACACAGGCTGCATCGTAGATGGTTATTGCGACTGAAATCGTTAGAGATCTTTCGATGTACGCTTTGCTTTCCGTGCTGCCTCTGCAAGAAAGAACATAGTCGATCGCTTTAGATAATTTCCGATTCCGAAGAATTTCGATAACCTCGATTCTTTATACTCGAAGGTTCTTTTCAACATGGCGGACCAACGACTCCGCCATTTATGCAACCAGAAGCTCCTCCGCGAACTTCGAAAGCGTTAAATTACTCGATAAGATAAATTTCGATTTTATTTCCACATTTCTTTTCGATATCTCACGCAAATAATGCTGAAAGTAGAATTTTACTGTAACTAAAATAAGAGAGAAGATTCTTTCATTGATTAATCGATCGAATTTTAATCGAGAAAATTCATCTTTCGGTTATATAATTTCGAATTAAAAATTCGAGAGTATCTTCATCGAGTTGAGATGATTTTTGTAAGAAAGTAGGAAAATTTCTAATAGTTTTAGATGCAACAGCCTTAACTACGAATGCCTGGGAGAATCTCGTTTGATAGTTAGATTGTTTGGAAGGTTGGGGAATCAAAATGTGACTTTTATACGTTTTTTGACTGGAACGATCTTCGTATGTCGAATCGATACCGTGTTAATGGGCAAAGTAGATTCGATGATCGATTGTCGATCGAAAACGAATAGAGAAAAAAGAGAGAGAGAGAGAGAGAGAGAGTGAGAGAGAAGAGAAATGACGAAGAAACTCCGTCAGTCTAGATAGTTTACAATTGCATTTTATTTCCATCCAATAGAACCAACGTTACAGAATGATTATTTCTCTTTCAACTGCTGGCCAATAGAATTTTATATTTAATTCCACGTTTCATATTTATTTCGGTTATTTATGCATATGTAGATAGGTGTTGACGCTCTATGATAAATGTATTTAATGCCGAAACGACGAATTATTTATTATTTCGTTTAACTTATTATCCATCGAATCGCGGGTCTGTTTTGTAGCATAAATGTCTAGTCAGAGATGTACTGACAATAATAGTGTCTCGATGCAATTTCACTCACCGATTACCGAGCGACGAATTTTTGTTCAACACTGGAACTACCTAGCCTAGTTCGCAGCGATCGCTCATTGCGAACTGTTTGTTCTCGTAATTACTGGAAATATACAGCTGCTTCTGGTAAAATCGATGTCAACTTTCGAGATAAAAATGTAATTACGTGCAATTATTCATTTCCATCGTGCCACTTTAATTATTATTGCTCGTTATTGCGTATATTATTACGTGTAATAATATTCAATTATGTTGTTATATAATTACATAAATACAATAATTGAGAAAGTTTTTGAAAAAGGAATTTATAGGTCTCAGGACCCTTTTTTGGTAAATCATTCTCTATGGATGGTCACGTGAATATAATATAGCGAATCTTGATTACAGTTAATATTATTAATATTGATACGTTATAATTAAAATATATTATAATGTATTATAATTAATATATTAATCGTATAATATATAAATAAAATATTACATACCGAGTTTTAAATTCAATATTTCGACATTGGGATTAACTTTGGATTAAATTTTGGTTTGTTCGTGTAAGTACACGTGGTCTCCGTTGGAACTATAACCTCTAGCACGATTTACTCCAGCCGCCATTTTGGATTGCTGTCTTTCACAGAAAAGTCCTCAATTATACTATATTATATTATATTATATTAATTCAACGATACTTGATTATGTTGTTATATAATTATATAAATATAATAATTACATTATTACGTTTAATAATGTACATAATTCGTATATAAATCACTGCTCGGTAGTTCCAGTGTCAATCGCTCGCGTGCTTCGCGAGGCTTCGAAGCGGAAGATAAGAAGGTTAGCTTTAATTTACCATGTGTGTTTATTTATGCGAACAGTGATGCTTGCCGATGAGAAACTAAAGCGGACGGCGAATTTTGTAATTTAACGCGTGTCGAGATTAACCGAATGATTCCTTTCAAGCCGCGTTCGCAATATTGGTCGCTTCACCGAGCAAACGAAGAACCGTCTATGGCAATAATTGTGTTAAAGCGTAGCCTGTACTAATATAACGTTCAATCCCGAGTTTTAAGGCGGCTTAATTTAAGGAGAAGTCAGCGTTCGACGTTTATTATCAATTAAATCGACGATAGGACTGAGAGCCGTGGTGAAAATGCAATGGCGTAGACGTCGAAGCATTCGAGTGTCTGTGCACACTCGCAGACATAATTCCGACGTGTTGAATTGCGATTCAACTTCGCCATTTGGGAACATTGTTTCAACCGACAAATTTGTACATCTCCGAGAAACAATAATTCACAACAGAGATCGTTCAATACTACTTATCAGCTGTGCAAACACGACCACTGAAGACACATTCAGGAATTTTAGCTAACGAAGTACTTAACGAATAAACCTTTTTACACGAGTGAAAAGGCATGGACGATTTGCCACGAGAAGCATCCTGCGGTTTTGCATAAACGTAGTTAAATACATTACACGAAATCACGTTTGAGGGAAAAAGAAGGGGGAAAAGAGGGGGAAAGAGGGGATTACTACGACGATGAACTGTACCAAAGAAACGCTTGACTTTTACGATAAGAAGGAATTATTTGGAAATTATTATCGAGCACGAGAATGCGAGTATGTTTTTGTGAAGGATACGGTGTGCAAATGAATATGGCGGAGATGGAAGTCCACGAGCGTGAACCAGGATGATCAGTATGAACAGTGTATCGATAATAATCGAGGAAGAGGGAGAGATAAGAATGATTCGACGAAGTTTCGAAGAAAATACAACGCGTCGGTGTGACACGATGATACACGTTCGCCATTTTTGCGCACGCGCTATTAATCGTGGGAATTGTCATTTTTACTACGACCAGATCGCGATGGCCGATTTATTCCGTGCATTATTGTCAGTCTCCCGGTGAACACGAGTCGCAGTACCACACTAAAAAAAACGGAACCGTTCGAATAAATTTTCACTTTAAAAATGTTGGAACAGAATAAATTTCTTTTGGAAGAAACCTCCTATGACTCTTTGATCGCTTGCATGCGGCACTTCCGGTTCGACTATGCTTCTGCGACCGAGTAAGTACAATTCAGTTCTATCATTCGTCTTTCTTTTTCCTTTTTCTTCTTTTTCATTTTTATAATGGAATTTTAAATTTTGATTTTCCAATTGTTAATTTGTGACTGGTTAATATTCACTGACTGCGAGTAATTTTGTGTATATTTCTCATATATAGGTAAAATAAAGGATGTAATTTTAGGATCGATATTTCTTATTCAGAAGAATAAGGAATATTGAATTTTAATTATTAAGAAAGCAGTAATTATCTTGGTTTATATTTCAAAGTTGTTTTATGAGGAATTAACATAAATTGATAGCAGTTGGGTTAATATTGAACAATTTAAACGTTCATATTTTGAAAATGAGTCACTCGTTGAAATTCTTCAAAAGAATTGCAACTTTGAAAATTGCACAGTTGTATAAATCCAAAGATAAAGATAAGACGTTGAACTAAATCAACAATCGTAATCGTATAAATCGATACAATTTTCACTGGCAAATAAAAAATTCGGAAGAAGAAAAAAAAATATACAAAGCAATGCAATCCCAAAAATAAAAATAATACGATAAGAAGTAGGATTCTTTCGCGAATTCGATCGATACGAGCAACTGATCAACAAAATTTCCATTGGCATATAAAAAATTCGAAAAATAAATAAAAAAATCCATGCAGATTTCGTGGAAAATTATACATTAAAAAGTAAGATTTTTTCGCGAATTAGATCGATACGAGCAATCGATCAACAAAATTTCCACTTGTGAATAAAAAATTCGAAAAATAAATAAAAAAATAACGCAAATTCAAAAATAAAAATAAGACGTCAAAAAGCAATCTTTTGCCACGAGTACGAATCGATTTGAACAATTACTACAATTGAAAAATTTCCATTTGCTAATGAAATGTTAGAAAATAAAAAAAGAAAACCGGAAAAAAATCAACGCAGACGCAAAAATATAAATAAGACGTTAAAAAGCAACGTTCGTCGGCGAGCTCGATCGATCCGAGGAAGTAAGCTACGTAGAAGCGTAAACAGTGGAAAAACCTGCACGATCGCGGAGACCCGGGGTCTCTTTGTTGCGATTGGCAGCGGTGGTGGCGTCGGAGGCGCCTCCTCACCCCTATCGCATCGAAACGGGTGGAGATCCCTCGGTTAGCGTGTTCCCCGTTCCTTGATTTGGCCGAGCACAATGCACAATAAAAGAGCATTAGATCGTCGGCTTTGTCGAGCGGTTGCACGACTTCTCGTAACAATGGCGTGGCCCCCACTCGGCCATAGCACTCGAAACACCTGGCAAACAAGGAAACAATGCGCACGAGCCGCACTTCGACGGGATTTCGCGCATTTGGGGTGCGCGCATGCTAACAAATTATCACCCCCTCTGTCACTTTCCTCTCGTTTT